AAGTTATTTTCTCCCAGGGACCATGGCACCTGTTAAGCAGTACAGAGGGATCGGCATGTTGAGTCAATCAGCAGACAGAATGTCTCACCACAAGCTGCACCCAAGCAGGGGGGTCTCCAGGCCAAGGACAGAGAGCACAAGTCTGAGGGAGAGACTGTCCTTGTTCTCCTGCGTTCTTATGGTGTAATGGGACTACCAAAAGCTTTCCTGTTACAACCTGAGCAAGCCCTGCTGGTGCTGCCTAGGGAGTAATATGCCCTGAAATTGCTGCGAGTGTTTGCCATGTGTCTCCCTCCTTGTCCCTGCATCTTCAACCCTATTTCTCCATCTCTGAGATATTTCATCAGAACCAGCAGCAGTAACCTTGCTGGGGTAATACCTGTTTCCCAAGGCCACTGCCGATGTGAACAAAGTTAAATAGCCTTTTGTCCAACTGGAAACCTTGTCTCTGAAGCAGCTGCAGTTCAGGAATTTGTTCTTGTTACACTCTGCAACAAATTCCACCAGTGAAGGCTTTTTCAAAACCAATAGATTTTTAATAGTCTCCTTAGCTCTGATGAAGTGGTGTTTTTTGATAAATAATAAAATACCCAACTCAGAAATAGCTATTAATTATTCAGTGGAATAGCAACTACAACTTCAGTTGCTTCATGTCCCAAACCAATGGGGAGGATGGGTAAGGGGAACAAAATAAAAATAAGGAAAAAACCAAAACAAAAAAGCCCCCAACAACGCACAACAAAATAATCTCACGCAAAACTCCCTTACCAATTTGTTTCACTCTTTGCTCCACAGTTTATTGAAACTGTGGGCTCACAATACTGCTTCAGCTCCCTGGGAGCAGAGCTATGTATTTACCTCTCTTACACCCCAAGGAAGTGAATATGCTGTTATCAGTTAAATTAAATTAGTTTGGTAACCAGGCCAAGCCAGTGTAGGTCCCTGGTGATTAAAGAAGATATGTCAAAATACATCAGTTGCAGTCCAGCCTATATTACTCATATTAGCTTTTGCAAGAAAGGAAAGGTCTGAACAAACTCTAAATTCCCTTGAAGGGGCTCTGGGACTGCAGTCAGGCTGCAGTGCTACTTGAGATGAGTTGCAAAAGACCATCAAAACACACAAGATGAAGTACTAAGATAGCAGAACGACCTGACTTTTCAGGATCACTCTCCCCATAATATGTAAGTGCACCCTGTAGGGCATGAACAAGCAAGAAACCTCCACACCTATGTCTAGTTAAGCCCATGTCATTTAAAGAAGTCAGGATTTGCATGCCATTTATCAATCTATGGTAGTGATAGTTGATACCTGCCACCAGGCATTGATGCTTTCCTTATTGACCTTTCCTGCATGAGTTATTACTCTAGAAATAAGGGAGGATGAGCACGATGAAATAAAGTGATTTGTACTAATGATCACAACTATTATGGAAAGAAGCAACAAATGAAAACACACCATTGGGTTCCCAGGCTCAGTGAGCACATGAGTCTTTGTTCTCTGTTGCTATCCTCTTTTCCTAAGCAAAGGAAGGGGAGGGTGGTTGAGATAAGAAGACCCACATTCCCTTTTTTTCATAAGTTCTTTCTAATAAGAGAGGCCTATCCAGGAAAGTAAACTTTATCCCTGATTATTGCTAAAAAGAAATGTTTAGGAGTATATATTTGTTTTAAGAAGTGTTGTGTTGTTCCCTAGTGCATGGAGAGGGCTCTGTGTGTGCGCCTGTTTCTCTTTGTGCACAAGGCTCCCATGCAAGCCATGGAGGAAGCCTCCTAGTTTGGTCAGAGACAACAGATAAAACCGTACCCAGGCTCCTATGGCATGGTTGCTGCAGCAGCAGCCACCCAGCCACAGCAGGATCTTTGATCTCCTCTGGCTTTCTCCTACCCCCAATATATTCTTTGGAGATGTTTTCATTATATGCTTGAGAACAACATTTGTGCCAGCTTTCCAGTCTTTATTTGCATCAGTCATTCCTCTTGAGACAGAAGGGGACTTCTGCTACTGACTTAGGGCTTTGTACTTAAAGGTTTTTATAAGCCAGTGCTAGGAATATTAAAACCAGCTATATTTTTAGCACATGGAAAAAAAATGTTGAGATGTATTATTGAAAGTCAATAATAAAGGAAACATAGGTTGTAAACAAATACCTGGGGGGGGGGGGGGGAGAGAAAAAAAATCCCCAACGCCACTGTCTGTACTTCCTTTTCTCACCCAAGGAAATCCACAAACCAGCTTAGTGACCACTCTTTCTTTCTCTCTTGAGTCTGATTCTCCTCTCATTTACACAGCTGTAAATCCAGAATAGTTACTTTGAAGTCAGAGGAGTTTGACAAGTTCTGAACACATGTAATAGGAGAAGAATCGGTTTATCTATAAACAGACACTCCCCAGCTGACCAGATCATGATCCTGTTTATTTAGGGTATTTCTCAGTTAGTTCAACAAGAGCAGGAGAAGCCACTTCATTCAGTGAATTTACACTTGCAGACAGATCTACTAAATCCATGGAAGTTACATCAGCCTCTGATGTCAGAAGACTGGGGGTTGATTTTGTGCATACTGGCATAGCTCAGCAAAAATCTGATAAGTAGGAGAAGTCCAACTTAGATCCATTATTTACAATGAAAAATACTTGCATTATTTTTCATCAAAACACTCATTGTTTGTTAATAGCCTGAATTGAGAAAATCACTAGCAATAAAATATCATTAAGCCTCTAGATGAAAGTTTGATAGCTGATAGGCAGTTTGGAATATTAATTGATGCAAATAAAAGGTAAAGAATACCTAAGGACAGCTCTGACCGTGCACCAAGATGAAGTCAATAGATAGGTGTCAAATGGGTACTAAGCAGGAAAAGCAATAGGCCTTGCTATTAGCAGAGTGTTTTGATTCACATGCTGTAATAAAATGACATTGTTAAGAGGATGGACAAAAACCTGGAGTTCCGGGAAAAAAATATCTTTGATAACAGAAGGTCTTGTTGATGCCTATAACAATCAGATTCACCAGTAAAATCTAGCATCTTACCCTTGTGGGGATTTTAAGAAACACAAATGCTTTTTTATGTTTTAAAACAGAATTAATCTTTTGTCTTTGAAGAGTAATAGCTGATCACTGGTTCTTCAGTGATCTCTTGGAATATGGGTTGTAGAGAAGGTGCAGAAGTTATACTAAAACCACAATTTATAAAGCTGAAAGTGCCAAGGGTTGTTCTTCTGTTTGCACACATGGCAGTAACTGACTTTATTTTCCTTTAACACACCACAGACTACAATATATAGCACTTTGCTCCCACCGTGCTTTCTCCTGAGCATAGATAATACTGGAAATGATGGCTCCTAAAAACTATTAAGTGGCCTAAATACTGTGGAGTATGGTATTTGCTTTGACCAAATCAGGCAGAAAGTCAGGACTGAAGCAAGCCAACATGACCAGCTGAGATGGGATGGTCCTGCTGGTGGACTCTGGACTGACACGACCACTGAAGGAAAGCCCAGCTAGGAGGCACATGATAAATTCATATCCACAAAAGCATTATAAGATAACACCAGCACTGCTGTGTTTTCCAGTTTGGAAGGAAACCATATAACCACAGATTTGATTGAGCTTCTGCTGGGAAGTCAGTGTAATCATCACCTTGAAAAACAGGTCTGTTGTCTGTCACATAGACACAAATTGCTTATGACACTTTGGGTTGTTCAATTATTCTTACTTCTAACAAGATTAAAAAGAAGTTTCTCAGGGTGCTTTTTATCACTTCCCTTTGCAGCACTAGTGAGGATGCTTGGCTTTAGCAGGTCTTTTGATTCCCTAAGTTGAGGAAGTTATCATTTCCAAACAGCTGGGCCTCTGGCTTTTTGTATCACATGTTGCTCTACGGGAACCTTTGGGAGCTGGCCACAGGCAGGTCAACATGAGAAAAGGTGGCAGAAATCTACAGGATGTCATTGGCTTCAGCTCTTCTATCAGCACATATTGCACAAAGCAGAACTTGCCCTTAATATTCTTTTGTTGTTCTAACATCAAAGGGCTAAATTATGCCCACTAATATGTGTAAGAGGCTTTTCAGTTATCTTTCTGATGCAAATTATATCATTTTGCATTATCCACTGATTATCTGTGATTTGAAAAGTACCGCAGATGTTGAGCAAAGCCTATATGTTAGTTCTCTCCTCTGAGAACAGCATCCAAGTAAGCAAAATTGAAACAGCCCTGTAGGAATTCTAGTTTAGCTGTAGCTCAAGGGTGAAATCAGTTTGCGCTTTAAAAAATTTGTCAGGTATTTGATGAAACTGTGATTAAAGGACTGGGTTTGCCCAGCTCAGCACCTGGATGTATACCAAGTCATCTCCAGCACATACATCCTCTCCCCTTGCTAGATACCTATATTTAGGATGCTGTTACATTTAACAGGCGCTCGAGGTCCATTAGACAACAGCCCAGTGTGAGATCTGCCCTTGGCTCTCACTGCACAACATGGAATAAGTTGTATTTGATTGTGGCAACATGCCGACAATACCAAGGTTAATGAATTAAAGATGTAAAACAAAGAATGCTTAAAGAAGTCCAATTATGAGTGATTGTTTTACTAGGTGGTATTTAGGATTCAGAATAATCATTACAAAATAAATCCTCTACCCACCTCTGGCTGGGCTCTTGTAGAGGTGCACAGCATTTCAAAAAACAGTTGAGTTGAGAAAAAGCAAATACCCAAAAGGTGTGCAAGGCAACATCAGCCAAATGTGGTATTACTTCCTGGTTTTAAGGAGCAGTGATAGGAAAGTATGGGGGGAAAAAGGAACTATATCATGACTTCACCTTGTGAGTGTTATTATCATAATGTGGATAGATTACCTTTCTGGTTTTGCCTGTGTTAAATCTCAGTAACCTGGCTCATTTGCAAGTTCAAGCTTTTGTATGTCTGTAACATAGCCTATGACTGTAGTCAACAGTTATTAATTTAATGGTAGTTTCTGGACCATATCTTATTATCTAGTCAGATATATTGAATTATGACAGAAGAATTCTCCAGAAGTCCACTGAGGACACTCACAGAACACTGCCAGATGATCGAACATCCAAGACAGGGAGGAGTGAGAAGAGCCTTTTCACCCAGTCCCATCTATGCCTCTGAAGGTCTGAAGTTCTATTGAACTCGCCCAGTCCTTAACTTGTGGAAGTTAGGGAAGATGTGATTCTATTAGACTCTCCTTTTTCCTCCTATGCTGAACACCCTACAAGGTTGCAACAGGACCACAGACAGGCCTTGACCACACATTGAAGGGCACAGTATGAAAGGCAGCTGCCAGAGTTGGAAGAATCAATGTCAGCTCTTTCTCTTTGCCAAAAAGACTATTGATTCTCTATACTTACTCCTGTAACTTGGCTGACAGATTCGTAGGACAACAAGAATCTCAGCTAAGAACAGTGCTGCTTCAGCCAGTTGTTCTTAATAACACTGCCAAGAAAAGAAGATTTATAGACAGGAGTTGAACACAACGAAAGAATTTTATTTTTTTTTTAATGTAAGAACATATTTCAGGAATTTGCTTGGGTACCAGTTTTCTCATATTCTTTTCCACAAAGCTGCAAGAGTGCAGTCTCTCTGGAGTGCTTGATCAGTAAGAGGTGATATATGAAGTGGTGTAAGAGGATGTACATAAAGCTAGTCTATGTGTTCCCTCACGTAGGAGCAGTTGTACAATAGCACGGGTTCTTAAATCACGACCTTCTAGACTCACAACTAACCCATCCCCTCTTGAAGTTAATTAGAATTAACTTCAGATCTTGGGGATCTGTATGCAGATTACATGCTTACCACAGTCAAGGTCTGGCCCTCCATATGTCCTCTTTTCCTAAGGCCATCCACTTGCTTGGCTGTTCCTGCCATGTGCATATATTCTTCTTCAAAAATAATAACCAGATCTTTACAAATGACTTCTCTGCTTTATCAGACATCTATATCCTGACCTGTTGTTTGAGAAACACTACAAAATCTGGCACAATGCACTGGCAAATTAAGGCAATACAATAAAAATAGTGGTGATTGGTTGGATATTACTGCTATGGTAGAATATATGTCAGAAGAGGGAATACACTACGCTGACTATAGGATAGCTCTGATTTACTGTACTTTCAAATCATAATTTGAATACCCTGTGTTTTTCAGAATGTAACTTTTTTCCTCTCGCCTTAATGCAGTCCCTTCTATCCATTATCTTTATGTACCCTATCCTGTCCAGAGAATATCTGGTGGAAATACCAGCACAGAGCACCTTGAAGGCTGGCAACTTGGGCTTTGCAAAGCTTTTATGGGAGCTATAAGGAAGACAACCAGCAAAAATATATTGATATCTGAGATAGTGTCTGCACATGCTTGTTATGTGATTGACTGTGACAATGCCAGATGATGGAAATAGATATTTCTCAAGCTTTACTCATCAAAAAGAAGCAGATAGAAGCACGAGCTTCTTTCATATGTTTTCTTTTTGTAAATCATGTTTCAGTAAAACACATGAGTAAAGTCCTATTTAATTTGAACTTTAAGTCTTAGCTATTTGTTGAACAGCATCAGGCAGGTAATGTCTGGGCGACTTCTGAGGACTTGAAGCCTCTCACTTTGGTCTTCCAGCATATTTCATATCAGAACAAAAAGCCAGCATCCTTGAAAACAACAAATCTTGTAAAAACATTACCCCTCTTGGATTCTGGCAATACACTGATGGGAGTGAGTTTTGAACTCTGAGACTACAAGGTTAGGTAGTCTAGTCTAGTCTAGTCTAGTTTAGTGCCGACGTGAGGAAGTCCCCTGGAGAGCAAGTACTGCAGGGGGAGAATTCAATCACTAAGGTATTTCCAGGTTGAAACACCTGGATGGTGGATTAGACTGAAATACATTCACAGAATGTGCTGAGAGGTTTCTTCCAAGCAAGAACCGATTACAGAAAAGAGGACATTTGTTTCTTTAAGTACAAATCTAACTTTTTGGTTATTCTACTGGATATACAATATAGAAATTTTTCTACTTTAATAGATAGGCATGAATTCTAACTTGTGCCTGAGTCTCTCCCAGTATTAAGCAATTATTTCTCCCTTTTTCTCACCCAGAAGCCTTAGGATAGTATATAAAAAATAACAATATTGTTCTAAAAGATTTGGCTGTCAATTTGCTGAACAGTATCTTCTGGCTAAAAGGACACAGTTCACATTCAACCTTAAAAGGCCTGTGATAGAAACTGTTAAATACCCCAATTAGGAATGAGAATGAGCAGTCCCTTAGGGACCTTTGCACTCTGATGTTCTCACTGCCAGTGGAAGAATAAATAAGTGCAAAGCCTGTCACCCTAGCTAATAACTCCCAGAGACAGAGGTTACAATGACACAATGGGAGTTAGCCCATGTTTCAATGATGTTTTGCTATTAAATTTGCCTCTCTGAAAGGCTTTTTATGACTGTGAGAAAAAAAGAGGTGTCATCCTCAAAGCATATGACCCAGCAGTCTGGGTTTTATGACAGCCAGCACTAATCAAGCACAGGAGACTTTTATTTTTTTTTTTGAAATAATGTACCAGTAGCTTTCCTTTGGAGGGGAATGTGAGCTAGAATTGACCCGTCTACAGGGAACAGATATTTCTTGACCAGGCAAAACCCTGGACTACACAGAATGCTGCCAGGTATCCAGGTCCCCAGTAACCATAACAAATCATAACAAGAAGGAACCAGGAGAAGGATGAAGATTCAGCACTGCAGTAGACATCACAGGGGCCAGTGAACCCATATTCCTGTTATTAGGAGGATCTTCATGCCACAGTCTTGTCCTGTTACAATTTTGATGACTGCTGGATAACCACTCAGATTAATTTCTGATCTCTCATGATCAAAAAAAAAATTTTGCATGCTTTAAACATCATATTTAGATAAATGTGAACAAAACCAACTGTTTTAGAGGTATTTTTAAATGAAATTAAATTTCATATGCATTAACAGAAGATGTCATGTGCAGCAATTTGGCTTCAGAGATGCAGAACATTTAAGATGAAAATTCTGCTTAGGGGAGAGTCATGAAAGGAAATGATTGCTGGAGCCTGCAAGACTAGCAAGGGTGATGTTAAAAACATTTAATGTTTTTACAGGTTGGTCTACATGAATCAAAGTCAAGTAAGAAGGCAGCAGGTGTTAAAGTTGTTAGTACCAATTATTAGTTTAAGGAGTTAAGAAACAACAATGGAAACGAGTGATTTAGGGCTTTTAATGCAAAAAGAACAAATGATCTACAGTGCTAGTTAGAGCAGCCAGTATGGGAGGCTGGTTTAGGCAAGAATGGAGAAACTCTGATTTTCTTACAAAGTTTTCAATTCTTTACCTCCATCATATGTCATTATTAAATTTTCAAGTAAAAAATGGAGCTGGATGTCCAAGCTGCAGCAGAAATAAATAGAAAAGCATTTTTACAGTGTGTGGGGATTCCCACTAATTGCACCATGAGGGCAGATTTACAATCCCTAAAAAAGCCAAATCTGAGGATCTGACCTCTGCTTGAAAAAAAAATGATTAGAAATAACTGAAGTTATAACACTTTTCTATCACCTTTTTCATTTGCAACCCTCAAAGTGTTTTACAAACATTAACTTCGTGCAGACTTCAGGAGAGCTTCATTACTCTTCCCCCACTCCCTATTTTACAGGTGAAAAAACAATGCAGAAGTGAAGTGTCTTTCTCAGGACCACATACTGCCTGCCTTGTACCTACCAACTTCGATGCCCCTGCTCATACCACTAGATCATGCTGACAAGTTAGTGTGATAATTCCCAATGTGAAATAGTCTCCTGGAAAAGAAATGTATAACCCATTAAATATACAGCTTACTTAGATTTTCTTATGTTTAAAGTACATCTTTAAATAATGTTTTCAGTGAGCAATTTGAATAGTTCATAATTTATAACATTAAATCATGCCAAGGTGTTTTTTTGCAGTCAAATCTAATGAAATTGCTGTTAACTTCAAACCAGAAGTTGAGCCTGTGATTCATTGAAGGGTTTGTCACTGTCAGATTTGCAGTTAAACATATTAAAAATTGATCCACTTATATATACTTTGCTGCAGTTGAAGTTATCAAGGTTATAAATTCCGAACAGTTCCCATGCTTGTGGTGAGGAATACCAGTTTTAGGATGACAACATTCAGCATAACCTTTCTTTTTGCACTAAAAAGCATTTTCCTCCACAACCTGCATGTTTAACTTCTGAGATTTCCCCTTTACAGAACACAAAGACTTCTGTTCTTTTTCTTTTTCTTTTTCTTTTCTTCAATGAGTGACTGTCTTTGAAATCACTTTATGTGCAAGGCATGAAATACTGCTTTGTGAGTTTACATACCTCTTCCAAAAACACTGGAAATGCCAGACTAATGCATTCAAAACAGATTGGCTTTGTGGTTGTTTCCGTATTTAGGTATCTGATTTGGGGTGTCTGGAAAGAACCCAATGCAAAGGATGGATTTTAAACTTCAGGTGTCTCCCAAAAGATCATGTATATTTATATATGCAGTATGTGTGCCTATGCACTGAGCTCTCTGAGGAGGTGACTCTGGTCTCTGCTGTGAATGTTCCCAGCCCCCTCAAATGGAATAAAAATTCCCAGTCTTGTTTCCCCTAACTGTTCATCTCAAGCCTTCAGATCTTCCTTGGATCTATTTTTAAAACTATTTTTTTTCCCTATAATATATAATTGGCACTCACCTGACAGGAGAGTTTACTCAAGACTTTGAAAAAGCTGCTTTAGGACCACATGATAATAAATTCTCCTTAATCCCAAATATATATGAGATACAGAGCAGGGCCCACAACAAGTTTTATAGAGAGCATTAGTGTCATCAGTTTAAAGAGAATTAAAAAGAAAACTAACATTGCATTCCTGAGGAAAAATCCAAGTAGTGCATAATACTAAAAGGAACCTTTCTAGAGGGAATTGCTTATGAAAGAGATTTTTAGTTCAAAATAAAGAAATCACTAGGCACTGCATTAGCATTATATTGATCAAAAATAGTCTTCTGAAATATCAGGATCCAAAGAAGAGACCAAGTAAAAGACACAAAGGAAAGTAAGTAAGCCAAATGGAGAAACTCCATCTTGCATTTGCAGCAAAGAATGTTTGTGATCAGATTCACAAATAAGACAGATGCTACCTGCAGTTGGGAACATTCGAAACCTGACTTATAGCTATGATCCATTACACTGCTAGATTTATTGACCACCTGTTGTGAAAACAGACCCTTTTTCACAAATAAAGCTCAATTCGCTGTTTGTGAAGTATCTCCTGTGTTATTTTCCCAATTTCCTCGAAGGCGCGATTAACCAGTGCTGCTCCATCCCTGCACGCTCACCAATCAGTGCAGTATTAATAAGATGCCAGGTGAGACAACTGAACCTCCTGGTGAGCTACTGAAAGGAAAGTGAGCTTGCTAAAAATATTTAGAGATTTATTTGATTTCTCTACGTGAAG